AAAGTCCCCTGAATCTCCTCCTCTCTGCATCTCCCAGAGACCAGACAGGAGAAAATGGGCATCAACCAATGGCCACGGGAAGGAAGCACCTCCCCACAGCCCTAGTGGATCATCATTCCCAGTTATCATAGAACCTGGGCTCCTCCAGGTTTCCAGAGGTCTAGAGTCAGAAGCCACAATTGGTTGGTGGATTCTTCATTTGTGCACCATCAGAGAAGGTGATAAATGAGGAATGCCTTCAAGAATGAAACTACCTCCCCTAGGAATTTGTGACCAACTAAGGAACACTCCTCTAGGAATTTGTGACCAGCTAGGGAACACTCAGAGCCTCAAACACAAAACTCTTCCAGAGCCTGGATACTGCAGCTGTTTTTGCAGATGTGACCTTCTCAGTAACATTTGTTTGGCACCCTAGCATCTGTACACAGGTGTGGGCCTGCAGGTTAGCAGTGGTGATTGCTAACATGACAGGTGCTCTGGAGAAGGTGTCACATACTAGCAATCTCTTCTACCTGGCAAGTCCTGGCTCTTTTGTTCTGCTATATGGACAAAAATGATCAGCCATAGAAGTATGGCTCCTCCTTTAGGCCAAAACATGCCTTCCTTAAGGATCCTGCTGAAATGCATGTGGTCTGTTGAAGGTAAGGAATGGCTGAGAGAGCATAGGGGAAGGCCTCCTTCCTTTCATCCAAACGCATTCATTTCCCACAGCACTGAAGCCTTCAGCAAATGCCTTTTGCAGTGTTTGAATGAGAAATGCCCACTCCACCCACCACAGGGTTCATGTATTTGGACACTAGGTCCACAGTTGATGGCACTGTTTGGGAAGGCTATGGGACTTATAGGATGTAGAGCCTTTCTACAGGAAGTATGTCACTAGGGCCAGGCTTTGAGGGTTTACAGCTTCACCCATCTTCCTGTTGTTTCTCTCTGCTTTCCAAGTGTGGGTGAAAATGTGGTCAGACAGCTTCATTTTCCTGCTGCTGTGCTTTGCCTGCCTGTTGCCATGCTCCTGCCACGATGGAAGAGCCGCTAATACATCTATGATCTGATTTACTTTCACCATGAAAAGCAGAAACGGTGATGCAGTGAAGGTAAACAAAGTAAGACAGAATTTAGCAACAAGGAGCTCCTTAAAAATGCCCGGTGAAGAGAGGAGACCAAGAGCCAGACTGGAATACACTGTGAGACTGGTCTGTGAAAGGAACAGGAGTGGACAAAGGATGTGTAAAAGCAACAGTGTCACTCCACTTTTCTGTGTAGGACTGGAAGAGTGTTTTAGTGGCAGATAATGGGACAAAGCAGGTAGGAAGATTCCCGCTTCAACTCTTCACTAGACAACAGTATAGGAGTGACATGCCGTCTCAGGGGACCTGGAGCTATAGGAACCCCTAGTTCCTAGTGAGACAGAGGGCCTGAAGATGGACAGTGGAAAATGGAGAGTAATTTTGCCCATGTTTTTCAGTATTGTCACATTCTTAAGCCAATGAAAGTAAATGAGGATTTGATTTTATGGTGTCATAAAGCCAACAGATAGTTCATTCACCTGGTTGGCTGAGCAACCCACTCAACTGACTGTTTAATCTGGTCAGACTGTTAGCTCCAGGGACGGTCAAATGACCTTTCTCAATATAATTAGTTAATGAGGCTGCCCTTGATGGAGTGGAGTAATAGAGGCTTTACAATTTTGCTAGCAGGTGCTGGTGACTAAGATGTAAGAATACACCATGTTCCCGTGTGACTCATCCCCAACAGAACAGTCAAGGGCTTGAGGCTAATTTGAGCAGCACAGTTTTAGAAAAAGATGTGTGAAGAAAAAGGTGGGAATTCTCCCGTTTCTTCTTCTGGTGAGAAGCTCAAAGAACATCTGGATTTCCCAGTTTCTCACAGTATGGTCACTTCTGAAACACAAGAATCACAACACCAAGAGCAGAAGATGAAGTCAGCTGATGTGCCTGCATGTCTACAATGACAAAATTCATCAAGCCAGATGTTGCTCAGCAAATACAAAGTTTGGGATGCAGTGATGACTGGGGATGCTGACTGGGGATCTGGAACCTAGAATAGGAAGTTCTCTTTGGTCCCAGTATTCTGTTCATCACACACAGTAGACTTTTCCTCAGGTCTGACTGAACCTTGCTCCAGAAATGTGAGCTCCAGAACAAATGTGACATGTATAAAGGAAAATTGTAAGTGCCCTCTAATCTTAAATAACAAGGACTGCCAGATCAATTTTGATTGATAGGTTTCTTTTTACTATTTTAGAACAGTAGTGGTTCTCAGCCTGGGGGTGGATGAACCCTTTCACAGGGGCTGCCTAAGACCATCTGCATATCAGATGTTTACATTGAGATTTGTAATGGTATCATAATTACAGTTATGAAGTAGCAATGAAAATAATTTTATGGTTGGGGGGTCATTACAACATGAAGAACTGTATTAAGGGGGTGCAACATGAGGCAAATTAAGAACCACTGTTTTAGAATTTCAGTTTAAATAGAATATACATGGAGGTCAAGGGATTTTTTTTTCTCTTAGCACAGTAT